TCAAATCCAGTGACAGAGCAGAAATCTGTCCCTGGGAGGGGGCTGAACCTCAGCTGGACAAAGGAACAGCCCCAGGGAAGGACAGAGTCCCAGCAAAGTCCTCCAAACTTGTGGAGAAAGGGAGCAGAGATCGTGAGTCTGTCTGTCCCTGGGAGAGCGTGGATACAGAGCAACCCCCAAGCAAACCCCGTGCAGGGAGCACAGAGCCTTCAAAGAAATCCCAGAGCACAGAGAGCCTGAAGGCAGAGATCTGTCCTTGGGAGGGTCAGGAGCTCAAATCCAGTGACAGAGCAGAAATCTGTCCCTGGGAGGGGGCTGAACCTCAGCTGGAGAAAGGAAAAGCCCCAGGGAAGGACAGAGTCCCATCAAAAGGAGTGGCCACCTCCAAACCTGTGGAGAAGGGGAGCAGAGACCGTGAGTCCGTCTGTCCCTGGGAGAGCACGGACACGGAGGATCTCTCCCTGAAAACTGCAATGGAGAAGGAGCCATCCAAGAAATCCGACAGCACGGAGAGCAGGAAATCTGAAATCTGCCCCTGGGAAGCAGCAGAGCCCACGGGGTGGGAGAAGGAAAGCTCCAAAGCAGGTGTGCACCCACGGGGAGCTGACAGAACATCCCACCCCGGGATGGGAAAGCCAAAGGCGGTGGCAGGAGCCAGTGTTGGGTCTCTGGAAAAATCCAAGGGCAGCTCTGCTGGGGAGGCCAAGCACAAGCCCCTGTGCCGGCTCCTGCCCGGCATCCAGCCCCCAGGGACGGGCAGCAGCTCCAGCCCTGGCACTGGCCTGGCTGAGGTTTGTCCCTGGGAAGCAGAAGAGGCTCCATCAGCGCCTGCCAAGCCCAGCACAGACACGAGGAAAACCTCGGAGGTGTGTCCCTGGGAGGAGGAGGGTGTGGATCCCACCCCGACCCACCATGGCCAGGGCAGAGCCAGGGGGACCCCCCGGGATGGAGAGGGGGGTGAGAGGGAAACCCAGCCCGAGGTGTGCCCGTGGGATCACCAGGAGCCCCATCCATAAATCCCAGTGCTGATGTGGCTTCCGGGGAGGGAAAGGCTGGGGCTGGAGGCTGCTCCCACCTGCAGGGCCCCCATGCTTGGCCCGAGGTCTTTGCTGGTCCAACACCAACGTCAGGACGTGTAAATACAGCAAATAAAGGGTGTTGTTACAGAGTGTGGGCCGAGAGGCTCGTTTGTAGGGGTGGGGAAGAGCTGAGAGATCCCCCAGGAAGGGGCTGTGGAAACCCAGGTGGGAACTGTGGGAATTGCTGGTGGGAACCCAGGAATGAAGTGGTTGAGCTGCAGAGGTCAGGGAGGGGAGATGGGGAGCCACGCGTTGATCAACTGGAAGGAAAGGCCATGGGAAGGTCATTCTCCCCCAAAAGGCAGACATCCCACAAAAAACAACCCTTTTCATTCAGAGCCAGAGCTGGAGAACCTCACAGAGTCCCAGAACAGTTGGGGGGGAAGGGATCTTAACACCATCTCCTTCCACCCTCTGCCACAGGCAGGGACACCTCCCACTGTCCCAGGTTGCTCCAACCTGGCCTTGGACACTTCCAGGGATCCAGGGGCAGCCACAGCTTCTCTGGGAAACCCATCCCAGCCCCTCTCCACCCTCCCAGGGAAGAATTCCTTCCCAATCCCCCCCCTAACCCTGCCTCTGGGTTTGAAGCCATCCCCCTTCTCCTGGCACTAGGGAACATTCACTCCCCATCTCTCCCGGAGCTCCTTCGGGTCACAATTAGGTCACCCTGAAGTTTCCCCTTTTCCAGGCTGAACAATCCCAGTCCTCTCACCCTTGAGCAGGTCTGGGTTGAGGAGTCACCCCCCCACCACCTGCCCCAGCACACACACAACCAGCAGCTCCCAGGGAGTTATTTTTGCCCCTGGCTCAGCTCCCACACTCCAGAGCCCCGAGTGCCTCCCCGGCTCCCGAGCGAGGCGGAGGCAGAGGCTCCATTTAGAAAGTCCTTTCAGGAACAGACAGATTGTGACACCCCTCTGGCTTCCAAAAAGACATGAAAGGGATTCCATTGCTGGCTCCTCTCCCAGTGCAGCAGAAAGATGATGTTCTGCCCTTCCAAAAGAACATCATTCACAAAAAAACCCGCTGAAAACGCTGCAAGCACAAGGAGCCACAGCTCTTTTTTTTTTTTTTTTCCTTTTAAACAGCTCTGCAAAAATCTCTTTCAAGGCAGAAATAAAAATGCCCTGAACTCTCAGGGATGAAATAAAAGTGCCCTGGAAATGGCTGAGTTAAAAAAGCAAGACAGGGCTGAAGAAGAAAATGGTTTCTTACTGGATGATTAGTGAGCATTTGGCTCTGTGAGGGACTTGGCTGAGCAGAGCAGAGCAGGGAGAAGGTGAATTCCCAGCCCTGGAGGAAGGTAACCCCCCTGGGGAGGTGTTTTCCCAACCCATCCTGCACAACCAGGCACTGATGCAAATGTCACTGTGTCCACAGGATGGTGCCAGTCCCCCACTGACAACACAGAACCCACAAACACCAAACCCCCACCCTGGGAAAGGCTGGAGCCAAAAATGACATTAAATTGAATTATCAGTGCTGTGCTGCAGCCCCTTGGGGAAACTCCCACTCAGCAGGAGCCCAGTCCCAGCAACCCCCTCCCCAGAATTGGATTTAAAGTGTTCTTGCTGCTTTTCCCTGTTTTTTTGTTTGAAAATAAAAAAAAAGGAGGTTGGGAATCAGTAGGAAAAGGGAGGGGGAATGGGAAAACAATGTGCCAACAGCTACTGGTGGAAGTTTTAATGAGTGACCAGCAGGTCTGTGACACTTCCCATGGAAGTGACAAATATCCCACGTCTGGACACACTTCCAAGGGCTCTCCAAGAGCCAAGGGCTCCCACAATGGAAGTCCAGGACAGAGAATGGCCCTGAGGACAAACACAGGGAGGGCAAAGCTGCAGCACACAGAGTCCTTGGACAGAGTGAAGCCCTTCTCAGGGCTCATTCAAATCCCTCTCGCTCCTTTAAGGGCAAATTTGGGGTGACTGGAGTCCATTTCTGAAGCCACTTTGTTTGCTGGCTGCTCCCAGGGCAGGCACAGCCACATTCCCAGTCCTCCCTCCCTCCCAGGCTGGTGGCACTGCTGTCCCTGTGCAGGTTCCAGAACTTCCTACTTCACTTCTTCATATTCCTGTGAGGGATCCAGGGTTGGGCCAGGAATCATCACCGTCTGGAAGAGCAAGGAACAGGGTCAGCAGGAGACAGAGCAGCTCTGAACTGCTGCACTGGGGATTCTTCACGTTGCAGAGATGAAGGAAGGGGAGCAGAGGGTTCTGGAAAGGGGGGGTTGGATGGAGGCAGCACAGGGAAAACACAAGGGGGGAATGGGGTGGGATGACAGGCCTTGTACCACACTGGAATTCTCACCTCCTTTCTCTAGGATGTGTTTTTAGTAACACAGGGAGACAGAGCCCCTGCAGCACTTTGCCAGGTCAGGCCCAGGGAGAAACAACCCCCTAAATTATCCCACACCCGCCCTCAGCCTCCTGTTCCAGCTTTCCAGGTGCTCCAGGTGACAACACCACAACAACAAACAGCTCTGCCCGTGGATCAACCCACCACCCTCCCCTCACAGGGAGCTCAGCTTTGTCCTCATCCCTGTTTAACCAGGAATCTGCATTTCCCAGTGGATTCCTGGTGGGATTACCTTGACAATGGGATCCTTTGGAGGGGCCCACTCTGGGACGATCTTGCCGTGCATCCTCCACGAGCCATAGGGGTTCACCAGGTACCTCTCAAACACAACATACTCCAAAACATCCTTGGGCACCTGCTCCCCACCGTACATGAGCCGCCCAAAGCGGTCATAAATGGCCAAAATCTGTAAAAACAGCCCAAAAAAACAGGTTGGGTGGGGTTTGGAGAAACCTGGGCCAGCGGAAGGTGTCCCTGCCCATGGCAGGGGGTGGAACTGGATGGGCTTTAAGGTCCCTTCCAACCCAAACCCGTGTGGGATTCTCTGTGATCAAGTGATCAGAGGGATGGGGCACCTTTCCTGCGAGGAAAGGCTGAGGGAATTGGGATTGTTCAGCCTGGAGAAGAGAAGGCTTTGCAGTGACCTCACTGGGGCCTTCCAGGACCTGAAGGGAGCAACGGGAAAGATGGAGAGAGACTGTTCTCAAGGGCCTGGAGTGACAGGACAAGGGGCAATGGCTCTAAACTAAAAAGGGGAGATTTATATGGGATATTGGGAAGGAATTCTTCCCTGGGAGGGTGGGGAGGGGCACGGATGGATTTCCCAGAGAAGCTGTGGCTGCCCCATCCCTGGAAGTGTCCGAGGCCAAGTTGGAGCAACCTGGGCCAGTGGAAGGTGTCCCTGCCCATGGCAGGGGGTGGCACTGGATGGGCTTTAAGGTCCCTTCCAACCCAAACCAGTGTGGGATTCTCTGTGATCAAGGGATCAGAGGGATGGGGCACCTTTCCTGCGAGGAAAGGCTGAGGGAATTGGGATTGTTCAGCCTGGAGAAGTGACCTCACTGGGGCCTTCCAGGACCTGAAGGGAGCGACAGGAAAGATGGAGAGAGACTGTTCACAAGGGCCTGGAGTGACAGGACAAGGGGCAATGGCTCTAAACTAAAAAGGGGAGATTTATATTGGATATTGGGAAGGAATATGAGGGTGAGGAGGGGCTGGGATGGATTTCCCAGAGAAGCTGTGGCTGCCCCATCCCTGGAAGCGTCCGAGTCCAGGACGGAGCAACCTGGGCTGGTGGAAGGTGTTCCTGGGTGGAACTGGATGATCCCTGAGGTCCTCCCAGCCCGACCCATTCCCTGATTCCGAGGAGGGCAGGGGCTCAGGGCTGTACCTGCCGGGTGTGCATCCTCACTGTCACCTGCCCGTACAGGTTGCCCTTGTTCACGAGGCTGTCACAGCGAACATGGACCACCCTGGGGGGCTCCAGGGACTCCACAAAGCTCCACCTGATGGTCTTGTACCTGTTCCCACGGACCATGTCCTACAGGGGGTAAAAACAAGCAGCAGCTCGATGAGAACACAACAAGCAAAGTGCTGCATCCAACAGGGTGTTTAAGTCATCAGCTGTTATTAGACTCGGGGTTTCCCTCCCACCTCCTTGCTGCATGCAGAAAAAATGAGACATGATCAGGTTTAGAGAGCTTTAAAAGCCTTGGAAGAGGTCAAGGCACTGATCTCTGCTCTCCAAGATCAGTGACAGGACCCAGGGAATGGCTGGAGCTGTGTCAGGGGAAGTTCAGGCTGGATTTTGGGAAAAGGTTCTTCCCCCAGAGGGTGGTGGGGCACTGAACAGGCTCCCCAGGGTTTGGTCACAACACCAAGGCTGCCAGAGCTCAGGGAGCATTTGGACAACGCTCTCAGGGACAGGGTGGGATTGTGCAGGGCCAGGAATTGGATTTTAATGCTTGTGGGTCCCTTTCCACTCAAGATATTCCATGATTCCACACTCACGGGGTAGCAGCGCTCGGTCACCAGGGAGTGAAGTTTCTGCTTGTTGAAACTGCAAAGGAAACACATCCCGTTAACTTGGACACAACAAAGAGGCTTCCCCACAAATCCCTGCCTTTCCAGGAGACACACAGGCTCCTGGCAAAACAGGAAAAGCCAAATTCTCAGCTGTGAAAAATGAAATGAAAGGAGGACACGAAGGTGAGCTGAGCTGACACAGCTCCAGGGAAAGGGCACAGGAATGGGGGAGCCAGTTCTGACCTAAATGTTTTAGTGATGTTTGGAGTTGGAACCAAGAGCGAGGCAGGTTTGAGATCTGTTACTGGAAAGCAGAGCCAACCAGTGGAGTGACATTTCATGGAATCATGGAACGGTTTGGGTTGGAAGGGACTTCAAAGATTATCCAGTTCCACCCCTGCCATGGGCAGGGACACCTTCCACTAAACCAGGTTGCTCCAACCTGGCCTTGGATGCTTCCAGGGATGGCACAGCCCCCCTGGGAATCCCTCCTTGTCTTTCTAATCCTAGGGGGGTGGAACTGGATGAGCTTTAAGGCCCCTCCCAACCCAAACCATTCCATCTTTCCACGGTTCCATGAAAACCAGAGCACCTCAGCAAAGAGAAGGAGGTCCTACAGAGCCCACATCAGTCAGGGAAAGGTCTTACTTTGCCAGGGAATTGTGAGCTTCTATAAATATCTCCTGAGCCTTCTCTGGGAAGGTTTTAGTGCT